TGTGTGTGTATGTGTGTGTGTGTGTGTGTGTGTGTGTGTGTGTGTGTGTGTGTGTGTTTGTGTGTGTGTGTGTGTGTGTGTGTGTGTGTGTGTGTGTGTGTGTGTGTGTTTGTGTGTGTGTGTGTTTGTGTGTGTGTTTGTGTGTGTGTTTGTGTGTGTGTATGTGTGTGTGTGTGTGTGTGTGTGTGTGTGTGTGTGTGTGTGTGTGTGTGTGTGTGTGTGTGTGTGTGTGTGTGTGTGTGTGTGTGTGTTTGTGTGTGTGTGTGTGTGTGTGTGTGTGTGTGTGTGTGTGTGTGTGTGTGTGTTTGTGTGTGTGTGTGTGTGTGTGTGTGTGTGTGTGTGTGTGTGTGTGTGTGTGTTGTGTGTGTGTGTGTGTGTGTTGTGTGTGTGTGTGTGTGTGTGCAGTTGAGTGACAGTACAGACTAATTTGTTGTTGACATCATTGTTTTTCAGGAAACTCGCTTCTGCTTTGACGTTGAACCAGACATGACCTCATATCCAGATCCGCCTTGTGGCTGGGGAACCAAAGTCACTGTCACATCTGGACAGAGTGACCTGTCTGTGCCTCCCATCAGTGTGCAAGGTACCAGATTACTACTGTAACACTCCTATATGGCCTATAATTGTGCCTAGGACTGCTTTACCACCATGACCTGTACTTTGCTTGTAAGAGCATAAAACAATCATTTTAGCACAATTAAGTGATACTTTCATGACTGTACTACATGTATTTCATCATTGACATTTGATTTACACATATCACAACCATTCTGTACTTTTTAATCAACACGAGTTGACTGGCTATATGTTAATCATGGCAAAGAGAAGATTTGTAAACTCAGAGTAATACAGAGTCCAACATAGGGGACACTGCAAGTCAGTACACTTTTGAATACTGAATAAAGCATCATATATCATCATTATCATATTTTTAGGTGCCTTCTCAGACACATCTGTGGCCCTGGGCTCAGGCGACAGTGTGGTTCTGTATGCTCTTGTTGAGAAGGACTACGCCTGTGTCGTCGGGGCAGACGTCACTGCTGTCATCTCCAGGCCGTACGGAAGGGACGTAGAGGTCACGCTCAAGGATGACGGTCAAGGTCAAAGTCACTTTAATTCATTTTAGTCCTCATAAAATAACTATATGTTAGCATCACCACTTCCTGTACAACTCTAGGATTCAGCACATGTTGAACCTTTCACAATATGACAAGACTGCTGAAATTTTGCCTCTGGAGGATAAGGAAAAACAAGATGTTTAAGGGCTGGTAGACGATATACCAGAAGAACAAAAAAAAAATGTTACCGTACAGGTTAGCTAGGGTCTAGATCCTGAGCAACAATTCAACTTTCAGTGCAGTTGGACATTTCTAATTCTCTTTGTGCATTTGGCTTGAGAGTCAATGTTTTTTTCTTTTTCCTCCTTTCATTTCAAATGAAATTTAACAGCTACAGTGCATACATTACCCCTTGCTGTGTTAATGTAACATTCCATTGTCATTGACTAAGGGCATTAATCCTTCAGGTGTGGATGCGTATGAAAACGACGGGATCTACTCGGCCACATTTGAGCGTTACCTAGGCAACGGGCGGTACAACATGATGGTGAAAGTCCTGGGCAGCAGCGTCCTGACTCAGGTGGACATGTCATGCGTGGCCGGCGTTTCCGGCGGGAGAGACGTCAGCGAATCAGACAGCGAATCTGTGTCGGATTTTGACAGGTATTTCCTAGCTTGTTTGCCATGTTCATTTATATCTGTGATGAGTTTGATGTACAAAGTTTTAAGATGAAAAATCCATAATGTAGCCTTGTTTTTTTTATCATTGAGAACCTCGAAAGTCTACGGTTAGTTGGGAAAGTAGGTTTTTGTGGTGTTTTCAGTTCACACAGTTGAAACAATTCTGTAGTACTCATAAAATCAAAAGATGTATTTGCAGTTTTATGATTTTGACAGTTGTGGTTTACAGTTTTCTGGAAAGACTGCAAATAAATCCACCACAAACATGTTAAGATCTACAAAATTTCTGTATAAATGGTTTACAGCTTTGGCATCCCTGTCTAGAGGTATATGGAGACGAACTAAGCCAAGCTTGTAAAGTATAATTTACTCACATAATTCATCCACGCCCCTAACCCCCGCCATCTTGTTCCCAGGGTTGTTGCCGTTGGTGCGTTCCAGGTGTCGGGTTATGACGGGCCGCTGGAGGAGGAGGAGGAAACGGACGGGTCACCGGCACCCGAGTCTGAGCCGGTCGCTGTCATCGGTAAGAACTTTTCCTCTCTTCTTCCTCCATATCACCATCAGGAGAAGTTCCATGTTGAAAGCTTCTTTCCTACAACTACATCATCATGATTATGGAACAAGCTTCCTTGTTAACAAATAAACGTATAAATCATGTACTACATCCTTGAGAGGAAATTATGCTGCCTTAATGTAAGACGTTTGTGTTCAATAAGTGTTTTGCCTAGTGTAGGTCTCTCACTGAAGACTGGGCAAGGTCAAGTGTATGTTGTCATACCTTTGGCCCATTGCTGAAGTCACACTTCCCGTGCACGTGAGGTTTTTGGTCATTTTAACTTTAGAAATGCCAGATAACTGGATGAAAGCATGTTGATAGCGCACGTTACTCGTGGGTATAATTGTAGCATTCTAAGGCCACACCAATTTAATTTGTTGGTTCTCGGATTTTTTCAGAAAAAATATGAAGCGACAGGGCGAAAAAAAAATAAAAATAAAAACAGGTCTAGGCATCCTATTATAGGCTTAAATGCTACAAAATGAGCCATGAAGTCAACACAAAAGGCTGGGTTAAAATTTAAACATTGAATTTTGAACTTTTAATCAGACTACTGCAATGATAGATGGGAAAACTGTAACAACTAGGAAGAAAAGGACTTTCCTCAACTGTTGAGGGCAAAACATGAGCATTTTTCAGTTGATTCAGAACCAGAATCATATTTTTTTTTTTTTTTGCAAATCAGAAAAAACGAAGAGGCGAATCCGAGAACCAACAAATTAAATTGGTGTGGCCTACGCATTTTAAATCTTCATAAAGTGATGTGTGTTCTTTTCTAAGCAGCCATGGGCGCCGGTGTGGGTGCTGCAGGCTTGGTGGCCCTGCTGATTATACTGGGGCTGGTGGTGCTGAAGAAGAAGGGCAAACGTGCACAGACGGCGCCATCTCCCACACAGATGCCCATAGATGTAAGGGCTTTCCCAAATCTGCTATTTTCATAACACATCCTAACATATATAAAGTAGGTGATAAGTGATACTATTGGAAAAACATGCATGATATATCCATGAATGGTTTATTATACATAATGTAATTAGTGACAGCCATCAGTCTGTGACAGTATTGAAGAGGTTTCACTTATTACCTCCTGGCACTGATGAGGTATTGTTTTGTGTGTGTTTGGTTGTGACATAGCACTATTGGACTGATTTTCAGAATGATAAAATATCCTGAGATCCTGTCGGTAAGTTCTGGGAATGGTTACCTCAGCTAGGCCCAATGTAAGTGACAGCTGACCAGAGATTGTGTAAGAGGTAGATTCGGGGAGTGAAATCCTGCCATGAACTTCTTGAAAAATTAAAGGCAGTCCACTCACAGCTGTCAGCTGTGATGGATTGCACAGTTTCCTGTGACATGTTCAAAAGTTCCCATGAGGGTTTCATCAGGCTAGAGTCATCTGGTGGAACAAGTGTGAGAGCCATTTGTCAGGAATATGACGGCTACTCCAAAAAAGTATTGGTTTTGTCTAAGTTCTTCAAAGGTGGTGTTTTGTCAGCTAAATTGCTTTTAAACAATTGCAATTAAGAAATCAGACATTTCAGACATATGGAAGTGTGACTTTTGCTAGTGATGCGAAAAAAGAAAATGGTCACAAAAAGTGAAGAAGCCGCAAAGTTTACAAAAGATGTAAAAAAAAAAAATGCAACTCTTTGGCCATTTTTATACTGTCTCATAATGACTTTTGAAAGATATTGAATGCACCAAATAAAATGCCAATCATTTCCCAAATGTCTTTCCCTAAAAGACTCATGGCTTTAGAGGTCTGTTTCATCAATTATGGATGATTTCACCTTTCCCTTCGTTTACTTAATTCTGTGTTTATTAATTATTCATATAAGTCTGCCGTCGTTCACTTACTAGACAGGTACAGTATTACTAAAGGCCTGTACTGTCACCAAGACTTGTTATTCACTGAAGGTATTGTCAAAATTTATACGTTTACATACATATTGGTGAATATCTTATCTATCTTTGTGGTTGTTGTTGGGCTAGAAGAGTTGGAACAAGCAGTTCAACTTGTGATGCATTCATTGTTATGATATCTGTACAAAATACCCCTGTGTTGTTGCCATCTGTTTGTAATTCAATGGAGAAATGCTTCAAAATACCACTGTTTGCATTAAGTATGCTACTCATAGATGTACAGGCATTTCTTGAGTACACCTTTAGTTACCTCAGCTTCTTTGTCTTGCTGTTTTGTCTTGTGTCATTATACACTCTGTGAAAAGACACACAGTGCGTTGCTTTCAAATTCACAAAGGCATGACTAGTCCTACAGTAAGACTGTTTCAGACTGTGACGTAACCTCTGCCCCTACAGGACAGCTTCAGTATAGAAGACGAAGAAGAGATGGGGATAGCCAATGGGACAGATGAGAAACAGGAGGTGATAGAGGAGCAGGAGGAGGAGGCTGAACCAGTGGCAGAACCTGTGGTCCAGAAAAGGGTCAGTCAGGAAATACATGTACATGTAGTTCTTCTTACACAGAATTTTGCTTTCCTGTAAGAGTTGTAAAAAATAACTTTTGCTTTACAGGTGGTTATAGACAACATGACCTTTTTCCATAAAATTCACTTCACTTCACTGTAAGTCTAACATTGGTCTGGAAATGCACTAAGTCTTACTAATAGGTAGATGTAGACATCCAATCCTTGCATCAGGTCCATATTAATGTTTCACTTGCATTGGATAGTTGGTCTGTGGTCCAAAGCTGCTTCAATTTGATTAAGTGCAGAAATGTTGAGCTATTTGAGCATAATCGGCCGTTTTAATTCTATGTAGGACCGCTCTAATTCAAAGTAGAGCACAATTGGAGCATTTTAGTTCCACGTGATGCGTTGTAGACACTTGGAATTTATTGTAAAGCATAATCGCTACTGTAGTGTAATACGTACCCGGCTCTCAAAATTTAGCGTAGAGCGTTGTCGGGACCCCCCATGCAGACCCCCATTTGATTAACGAAATACCTTACCTTCCGTAGACCCCCACGCCCCCTCCGCCAGTGCCGGTTGCCATGCCAACCGTGGAGGAGCCTGTGATAGACCCAGCTGTTCGGGAGGAGCAGAGGAGACAGGAGGAGGAGCGCAGACGGCAGGAGGCTGAGAGGAAGAAACAGGAGATGGAGAAGGCCAGGAGGATACAGATGGGTGAGGAGCAGATTCATCACAGGGCTTGAAATATGGGCCTACCAGCCACAGTTCAGCTCTGGAACTCCCTCCCACAGGACATTGTAGCTCTAAAGGACAGACACAAATTTAAGAGAAGTGTAAACCGTCACCTCAGTGGTATTGGACAGCGCCCTTGTGACAGCTGCTAAGCTGAGACTGACATTGCATAGATTAAAAATAAAATAGAAAATATCTATATCTACACTGGTGTAGGCAACATTCAAAACTACCTGAAGCAGACAATTTTACCTGCACCACTGTTTCTTTACCTTTAATTAGTCATAAAACTTTCCAATGTTAGAAGAAATGCTAGTTTCTGAAAGTTCTCTGCTGTTCGTCAGTCGACAATGTTAACACCATTTGGCAAATTATGAGAGACTCTTGTTCTGCATATTTTATGTTATGCTCTGTCCTGTTATATTTTGTACCATATTATGTTATGCTATTTTCTTTATGGCTATTAAGTCCCATTAAACAGCTTTAAACCACCTTGTTTGTCTACTTCTCTGTTTCCCTACAGAGGACCAGCTTCTGAAGGATGTTCGCCGTGCCCTGAGATCAGGTGACCGTAAGGAAGTGTCTGCAGCTGAGGATCAGTACAAGGCAGGCGGGATGTACGATGATGCCAACATCTCGCCGGAGATCGCCAAACTTCGCGAGATCTGGAACATCACAGACGGTGAGCACATCAGCAAAACATACTTTGTCTATTTGTTAGATGTTTGGTCACTGTTGCATCAGAATTTTGTCTGTTGTAACTGATATCTTTTCCAATTCAACAGTTGTCTTAGTCTGTAGGAAGACACCATTGCTAACTGAGGCAAAAAGCCTCCATGATTGTACTTATTTTCTGTATGTTATTCAGCAATGGGTACCTATGAAGTGTTTCAACTAAGCAAAGGATGATTGATAATTGTGTACAATAAAGTCGACTTATTAACCACAGATTGTTATCCACATTGTGAAAGTACAAACTTCTTCATATTAAACACAAGACATATAAAATGCAATACTGCATGTCTGTAAACCATTTCCCCCCTGTGTTCCAGGTCTGAAGGTGGCTATAGCAGGCAGGCGGATTAAAGAGGTAGAGCCTGCCGTGGAGATCGCCCGGGCAGCCTGCGAGAACATGACCTCATCCGGCCGCATCACCCTGCCTGCTGACATCACCAACAAGGCTGAGAAGGAAAAGGTATTAGGACACCAAACATCCTCTATTCACCTTTGTTGAGCTGAAATTCTTGAGAATTTAACACAGGAAACAAGCTTTCAGCCTGTAGAAAGTAAAACAGAGTATTGTCCTTGGTGCTGAAAATATAGCTGTGATTATGTCTATAGCCATCTGTAAAGATACTGTTTTTCTTGATAGCAGCATATAAAAGTAGAGATATTTCCATGCCAATGTGGGCTGGGGAAGGAGTATCCAGGTTGTTGCACACTCACCGGATGCAGTCCTTGCAATGACTGGCAAAAGTGCTGATCCAATGACTACAATCGTCATCAAGAAAAAACATCCAACATTTTCCTGGTATTCAGTAACAGTGTACATGGTGTCTGACACTCCTTTTTTGCAATCAGTTGGAAAATGGCTTCTCATAAGCTAGAATTGCATGCAGATGTATTTCTTATTACTTCCTGAATCTATCAAAAAAGATGACTATGAAACCATAACAATCCCCCCCCCCGCAGGTGAAACAGGAAGTTGCTGACCGTAAGCAGAAGGCTCTGGAGGATCTCCAGGTGCAGGTGGAGGAGGGAGAGAAGGTGCTCAAGACGCTCAAACACCTGGAGAAGCTGCGTCATGAGGTAACGTGGTGGCTATCATAAAGTCATGGTTATGCCCCTACCATTGGTTGTGTACTGTCAAGTCTAGTGTCTAATGGTGTAGAACTAGGGTTGGAAGTTAAGAATTAGCCTGGTAACAATTTCTTAATCTAATCTAATATAGAATAAAAGGAAATTTCTACCTTAAAGCCTGTAAAATCAAATTGGCTTTGATTTACTGTACACATGTAAAAATGTGAAAATGCATTTTAAAAATGTGACCCATGAAACATGCAATGGAAAAGCTCAATACATTCTGTAAAGTTTCTCTTCTGTCAGTCCGACAATGAGACATCATTACAAACTTTTCTTTAAGGTTAAGTCTTCAGACTTTTAAAGTTATTTTCAATTTCTTATTTTCTTAAGTTTAAGTCTTGAGTCTTCAAGATTCTTGACATATTTTTCTTGTATTTTCAGGTTTTGGAGATGAAGCAGAGCACAGTTGCTGAGATCAGGAACTACGGCCACCCCCCTCCCCAGGTCCACACTGTCATGATCTCAACTTACCTCATGCTGGGCACACCCGAGAGCCAGACACAGGTCTGTTTGTCTGTTTGTATTTTGTTTGTGTTTCCTTTGTTTAATCTCTATATTATTTGCTGAAACAACCATTTGTAGTCTAGGTGTTTGTATATCCCCTTTTCATCACATGGCTGTTTGTTTGCCTTCATGAAGACGAAAATCACTTCATGGCTTTTAGAAAGGAAAAAAGGGGTCAAATATGTATCAGTGTCTGTATATCTGGTATAACCACCCTTTGGTGCAACACACCAGCTTCAATGGTTGAGTGCTTGCATCTTCCTTTGTCTTTAATTGCATTTTGTTGGCTTAAATGATATCTTATTTTCCTCCAGAACTGCCCTTAGAAATAAAAAAAGGGGTCAAATGTGTATCTGTACAAACCAGCTTCTGTATCTGTGTCTGTGAAGCTATATTTCTTTTTTTGCATTAAATATCTCCAGAACTGGCAGTGTTCAAATGTGTACAAAATGTATCTGTTCAAACCAGCTTCTGTATCTGTGTATCTGTATCTTTGTTTGTTTGTTTGTTTGTTTGCTTTTGTTGCTTTAAATATCTGGTATCTCCTCCAGAACTGGCAGGCAGTGCAGGCCCTGATGGGTAAGACCGGGAAGCAGGGGATAAAGCGGATGGTGGCGGAGTGTGACCCTGACATGATTCCCCGCGAGAAGGCCGAGCGCGCCGCCAAACTGCTGTCCGAGTTCGACCTGGCGCAAGTCCGCGACGTCAGCGCCGGAGCTGCCACGTTCTATGTCTGGGTATGTTGCCACGGTGATGTGATACTCAGTAAATGCAGACACTTTTGCGGTGGTTTTATTTTCGTGGTTCCCTCTTGAAGAAAAATTGTAACATGGCAAATCTGTGCTTTATACTGTACTACATGTACAGAATTGTTTTACTTGTAAACTTCAAACTAATTTCTCCCTTTTCCTCCTACCATGAAATAAAACCACTGTAAAGGTTTATGCATTTACAGGAGATTGTTCTTCTTCTGGACCTTGGATTACATTTTACCTTAAAGCCACTACAGGCATGTATGTATATGGACTGGCCTTCACAAACTGGCCAAAACATGCTTGTAGAGGTTGTAAGGTGAAATGTTGAAAAGCCAAGATTCAGAAAACTTTTCGTAAACTCCAACTTAATGTGGAAGTAACTTCTTATACATTGAATAATCATTAAAACCAAGTGTGTTATTTCCTCTCATCAACCATAACTTTTTCTTTAAAAAACTTCAAGGGGTAAGTTTTAATTCCTTTATTTTCTTTACATCTACCTGAGCTAAACTTATCCGAGTCTTCAGTTAAGCTTTTTTTGAAAAGGACTTAACTGTATGACCTTGCTGTGACCTTGACCTTGCTGTGACCTTGCTTGACCTTGACTGGAAGAAACCACTTTCCGCAGGTGAAGCAGACTTGTGACGACATCCTAAGATCGTGACCCAGCAGTCCGTTCAGATTGTTGTGTGGTGTGTACTGTCGTAGACTTTCTTCTTTTGTAGAGTTACCGGGTAATGCATGAAAGTTAAAATGCTCTTAAATGTAACAAAAGTTGCAGACCAGTACCAAATCACACTTAACAGACTGAAATTGGTTGAAGTTACTTGCCAACTTGTCAAGTTTACTACCTTAGTCTAGAAACTGAGTGTCCAATTTTTACCTTTTGATACTCCTTCTTAAAGTTTGATTCACTAAAGAAGGAAAGATGGTGATTCTTTTTGAATATTGTTAAATTCTTAAGTTGAATTTTAGCTTAAATTAAGAAAATCTAGACTACATTCTTCTACCTTCCTCTCACCTGAAAATAATCTAGTATCGAAGTATGTTGAGTATGATTTGGACTGGTCTGTTCAAACTGTTTTATTTCAGCCACACTAAGGGAACACCATGCATAAAGAGAGACCAGACAACGGTGAACCCTATGAATGTAAACTCACTGCAGATGTTAAACGCTGCAAACTCACGTAAACCCTAGAGTTAAGCATTTGTCCCTAAGAATCCCTGTCCTTTCCTGCTTTCCCCACTTTTACCCAAAGCCTTTGGTAACTTGCAAGACCTGTATAACTTTTTATTGTTTGATTGATGTTTGTTTGAGTTGGATTTTTTCTTCTTACTATTCAGGTCTAACATAAAACATTCCTTTTTTTGCGAAAAGGAGAAAGCAATTTTTGTCCAAACTTACTGTTAAGCCTTAACAAAAACGCATTATCATTCAATTGTCACTGCTTTTTGGGTAGTCCTAAAACTTAGTTGAATGTGGTTTGGACACAAAAACTCTTTGAATGTTGCAAATTAAGGAAATGATGAAAAAATTTGTTTTCAATTTCGCATTCAGCAAAAGCTCCAAAAAATGCCAATAACTACATGTATGGATCAAGGGATTTGTTACATAAAGCAGAAAGAAATCACATTCTGACACAGTCCTATTAATTTTCTTTTGAATTTCAACAAGTTCTCTCAAGGACCCCAGCTAATATTTCTCTCCTGTTTCACAGTGTGAAGGAATGATAGAAGAAGCGAGGACCCGACCAGCTGATGGAGAAGAGTGAGACTAGAGGACACTACATGACACAACTGTTACTGTTACTGTTCTGTGCAACAAAGCATTGCATATAGAGTAAAATATACATGACTTGTGTAACACCCAAACTTGTCTCAGTTAGGGGAACTGGGTACTAGTATCATGATAGTCTGATAATAAAACTCAACTATCAGGCTTAGCAGTTATGAAGATTTTTAGCAGAGGAGAGCTTTGTATATTGCTAATTTTTGCCTAATATTAATCAGCTATACCCAAAACCCCTACAAGAGACAACGTTTTCAACTTTTGGTTCTATGAAATTAAACAGGCTGTTCACCAATGTAGCAAACTACAGTACAAGAAATGTATCATAATAAGATGTGTGTACTTTATATGTTTGTTGAAGTTTGTTGACTTTGTTTTGACTTGCCTTTGCCTACTGCGTTTGTTAACATAAGTGTAATTGCCGGATGGGTATATTTCAAAACATACCCTTGCTACTGAGATAGTGGAAATGTAAATAAGCTTTTTTATTCCGAAGAAAGTCAAAATCTAACAATTATCAATTAACAAAGAGCAAAGAGTGTATTTCCTGGGATGACAATGACATACTAATGATGTACAGAGGAAGCAAAAATATATTTGATGCACAAACTAGATCTACACGTCAACCGGAAAAAAGCCAACACCTCTAACCTATTGATGCATTTGCAATTTTGCTTCTAGCTGATGTGCCTTGCGTGACAAATTCTATGATTGTGATAACAGCAAGTACAGAGGCCTGAGATAATACACTGGGCCTGATGAAGTTTGAGAAAATAGGAACGGGTGATCTTTATTGACACCAAAAAAGTACAGTGATTTTCGTCTACTGAATGGATGAAATAATGTATAAAATCTGGTTTATAAAATGTAAGAACAAAAATCCCAAATCAGGATAGTTCAACACAGTCTCTGACTGAAGTAAAGAAACCAATATCTTAAACATATACTTAACACAATAATCCACTTTTCCGTTTAATACAATGTATATACATTACTAAAGTGCATAATGTAATGCATATAAGATACTACAAAAATATGTGAGAAATGTATCATGTATATACACTAATTTTCTTGTGGTGCTTTGTGGTGCTTGGTTGGTATTATGAAAATTATTTAGCTTTGACAAAGTTTATTAAACACCCATAATTTTACAATTCCTTCCTTTTTTACTCATCTTTTTGTAAAATTGTCATTGGTTTTGATTGCATAGTCTTAAAATATAGTGCTGTCAATCTTACTTTTTTTATATTGCTCTTGATTAGTATAATGCACAAAACCACCCTAAGATAATTTGCAATGTCCACATCCATTACTTAAGTCCCCTGAAGATAGTTCTCTCACTTGATAATTATGTAGTATGACTTCTACACCCACCATCCTTACAACAAGATGTACATTTTTTGTACCCTGTCAACATTGTGTTGTTCTGATGTTCTGGTTTCCGAGTACCAACAATTTTTTTGTGGACAGGTCACTTTCTCTATGTTTCTGTTACATTCTGTACCACTTTTCTATATCTGTTCACATCCCCAGGTTTACTCCCAGGCATCATCATCATCTGTCAACCATGGTCCCTGTAAATGATTTTTGTCAACTGACATGTATCTGGTCCCCATACCTTTCTACCCTACAGTGTTCTGCAAGCTGAGCTCTCCCCATGCCTGCCTACTCTACTGTTTACTGTAAAGTCTACATCTTTAGCTTTCAGCAAAGAGATTTCTAACTTAGCCATCGTGTACCATGAACATCTGAACTGTACTCTAAGTAGTAACATTACGTTATACTGAAAATATTTCAGAGATCTTTATGATTTTCTTTCTCAGCTGAGATGTACTCTGTCCCCATGCCTGTTTACTTGACAGTGTTCTGCATAGTCCACATCCATAGCTTTGGTCTCAGCACAGAACTTTCTAATTAAGCCTTTCTAATTTAGTCTTCAAGTTTAACTTAATGATTTTCTTTCTCAGCTGAGATGTACTCTGTCCCCATGCCTGTTTACTTCACAGTGTTCTGCATAGTCCACATCCATAGCTTTGGTCTCAGCAAACAGTTTCCTTATCTCCTCCTGGGGAAACGACTGCAGAGCGTTCCTGAGCTTCTCAAAGTAGTTCATGGGGGCAGGGGTGCTGAATCTGTAGCTGAAACTCAGGGAACAGCCGGAGACAACTTCCGTGTGATGCCTCATGCCCACGTACCACAGCATGATCTCTCCTGCAGACAAAAAATTATTCCTTCATTTATTCATCTATTCCTTATCCTAATATCAGGTATTGGGTTGAAACAAGGCATTCTATGCAATTAATCAATTTGAAAGTATTTTTAATCTGCTTCGAGACTTTATTCAGAAAATTATGCAATGCTGTGTATACTAAAGAGTAATTTACAATAATCTATGAAAAAATGCCTGCCTATCTGTGTATGTAAAATCATTTATGATAGAGTAGATGCCTTACATTGTCTCCTTAGATATAAATGAGAACTTCATCATTGCAAAATCTTGCACATAAATTTGCAGGATAAAGCAGATTGGAGGGAGAAGGTCTTGGACCAGGAAACCCCAAACTGATGATGATGATGCAGTTTAAAATCTAGAAGATTATTGACACAGCTCAAACTGATATGTACTCTATGCAGCTTGTGCTCAGTACATCATCAGTATAGTGGCAAGATATTTACTATTTGTGTAACATACATAATGATGACCTGTACGCCTACTCATCTGTCGCAGCGACAGGAGATTCCAACAACATATATTTATCTAGGGATCTCTTACCAGGGTTCAAGGTGAAAACCATAGGCGGAGACCACCTGAGCTTCCCATCATGCACCTCTGGCCAGGACAGACTCCAGTTCTTCACACCTGAGAACTGGGAGGATGATTGACACATGTCAATCACTTGTCAAGGGTATTTCACCAACAACTGTAACAATTCCTTAGAATTGTTCATGCATGTGCAAGCCTATCAGTCAGGTACATCATGTGTAAGACATTCTTTTATATGTAAAATCTATATACTAGTATATCTTCTCTTAACATAAATATGATTAATTTAATAGCTTTAATCCAGTGCAATTTCAGGCTGGCAAAACTGGATTTTCAAAGTCAATTTTCCGGCCATACTTTTAATGTAGTATTTAGTAGAATCAACCCTATCCCATTAGCATACTGCGGCAAAAATGCAATGTTGCTGATGGAAAATGGTTGCTTGTCATATTGTTCTAGATACATGTATTTAAGGGACTCCTCATGTAGCTTGTTTAGGGGTTGTCTCAAACACAAGTATGAAATGATTACAGAAATGGCAGCAAATGTCAATATTAGACAGATTTCCTCATTCAGAATATCTTCTTTGTTTTGCCACCCTGAAGTTGCATTGGATGCCTTCACCTGTGGATGTACACACCTGTACAGTCATGAAAGTTTCGCAGGTCTCGTCCAGGTGAGGCGACACACCTGTCCCAGGTGTTCCTAAGAATCCAGTCATCATGGGTGCCCTGACGTGTCCGGCCGTGCTGGCGGTCAGGCTGCCCTCAGGTAGGAAGTACGGCTCCGGGACCTGGGCTAACCAGTCCTAGGGAAAAAATAGTAGAAATCATCTACAATTATACATACATGTAAGGTTGTTGATATAAGGTTGTAAGGAGGACTTCTACCACCTAAACCTACATAACATCAACCCACAGGAAAGAGGCAAATGGCAGGCTGCCATCAAGCCTCAGCATCATTGTGTAAGCACGTCTTACCCTTAGAAGACGGGGAACAACAGACGCTAAACTGAATAGAGAGAGAGTGAGTAGAAGTTTATGACAGAAACCTAATTGTAAGTTACCTCATAAGCAGACTCTACAACAGGCTTTTTTCTGGCTTTCACAGTGGCTTTTATCCATAGAAGTGATATACTGTAACTTGTGTAAGAAAAAGTGTACTCCATAATAGATATTAAGTTACCACTGCTGCCTTCATGTTGGTGTCCCAGAATGTGTCGAAGTAGCCGCTGGCACATTTCCAGGAGTCTGGGTCTCCTCCGTATACTGTAGGGATGTCACCAAACCGGATCTTATGGCCTTTCTGAGGGTGAAAGCATTTAATTTAATATTCATAAATGAATTACAGAAAAGCAAAGTTGATAAAACTTCGTTATTGTTAGGAAATAGCAATTATTACATTAAGCACACCATGTTGCAGTACAATAGGTGGAAAGAACACAAAGAGAGAAAGGTTGTTCCTTACTTGCCAGTCAAAATATTCAGCTGTGGGGTATGTCTTGATGAAGTAGTCACAATCAAATCTGTTCAAGCTTTCCCAACCTAGAACACAAATTAAAAGTCCTATTTTCCTGTAGTTTTATACAAAGTACCAGGTACTGAAATAAATGGGCTTATAGGTCAAATATAGGCCATTTGTGACTTAATCATATTAATTTTTCATGATAGAAAGGGTAGACATTCTTCAATTTGTTGCCAGGGTATACAGCCATTACTTCACCTACCTAAATCAACGTCACTAAGTGACCAAGGACCAACTACGAAGGATCGAGGACGCGAGATGCACTTGGATGCGAACAGCATTTAATCACAACATGGTTGTACACATGGAGTCAGATCTTAAGACTAACCATGGAGGGGATTCACAACCTATGAGCACACGGGCTCAGGGATGGGCATCAAGTGACCCGTGACGTCATACTAATAAACATAACATAGTGGCGCAAGCTTATATTGGCAAGAAGTTAAGTTATAGAATATGTAGCTTGCATGCCATCAGTGATGATAACAGACTCTCCTGCTAACAAGTCTAACATAGTCTTCCTTATTACTGATCCTGATGAGCAGAGAAGACGCCACTGCAAAAACTATGAAAACAAAACCACTGCAAACGTTTCAAGATTTATAGTACCTGTATTTTGTAGAGCAGTTCTTGTACCTTGCATGCCATCAGTGAATTTGACAGACTCTCCTCTGTTCACCTAACAAAGTCTTCCCTACTGATCCTGATTTATAGGCCAACCAAGTGTAGAGCAGATTGAAGTACATGTACCTTGCATGGCATCCGTGATGATGACAGGCTCTCCCCTGTTGACCACCATGACAAACTCCCTCCTGCTGATGTTGCTGACTCGGCGGATCTGTCTGTCTGACGGCTGCTGCAGCCAGCGCCGCTCAGCGTGGGGGATCCACACCGGGCACGGCGAGGTGAAATGGGCAGCTAGGTCTGTGGGAAAAAAACTATTTCTAACATTTCTAAACCATCTGTGGAAACACTAGAGATGCTTTATGACAATGCCTCACAGTGCTAAGGCAAGGTATGGGTGAGTGACTGTAGCAGCTGATGAGGAAGAGAAGAGCATGTAAGGTTGTGGCTTTCTAATTGGAAATTTGGGTTGGACATAGTACTCTTTTGCTGGTGTGGGTCTTTGTACCAAGTTGTGCTTTGGTGCAAGTGTCAGGTTGAGGTAGAACATACAGCAATGGCTCAAATCAATTGTGTTACATACATCTCAGTATATATTCAGTTCAGTACAGTACAGTACAGCCTCTGCAATTCAGACTGGTTTGTTTTGAGCCAATATCGGGTTATACATCTTATTGGTAAGCGTGTTGGGTTCTTTAAGCATGCTTCACGTGCAAATTTACTTACCAAATGCCACATCTGTGACCCTCTGTACAGCCTCCTCCCCCAGTACAGACACAGCCAGCAGGGGGAGGCTGAACTTCCACAGAACAGCCAGGGATACAGGCAGGGTCAGGGCCAGGACCAGTCCAACTGGCACGCTCACGGGGGAGGGCAGCTCCTCTTCCAGCGAGGTGGAGCCGGCTTTTCTACCAGGCATGATGCTGCGATGTCAGACAGTTAGTGGTTCTGATGGTCGATAATTTGTTGGCTTCGGTTATGTTGCTGGTTGAACCTGGGGAAAGAATAGTCATCCCAAGAATTTATTTCATAATGGGACAATTCAAGGAACAGTTGTTCTGCAAAGGTTAAAAAGGCAATCATGAGATATATTGTAGAAGGTTCCAAAGCAAAGGTTCTGAGTTTGAATCCCTGGCTGTGTTGTTCCCTTAGAAATGGCACGTTGCACCTGTTTTCTCACTTGACTCAGGTGTAAGTGAGTACCTTCTAAACTACGAGTACACATGTACCGTTGGTTAGGGAAGTCCTCTTGTAGGCGCTTTTAATACCGGTCAGTTATGTGAAACAAACAAGAATTTTACCATAACAGAACGTATAGTTCTGAGCTGCACACATCGCTACACCTGATTTACCTAACAACAACCACAAGCAAAAAGTCAACAAACCGCGCTTGGATGAACTTGGATAATCAGTACTTCGTGGTCTCCCTTAGCAACGAGATATTCTGTCCTATTTGGTGCTTCTGAAATGCTTCTAGAAACGTTTAAATGAACATTCAAACCTTCCAAACGCCTATAGATCTAGATCCACTTCTTTCTGGAGCGATTTTGATACATTTCTGAATTTGACCCACTTTCACGCTTGTCGCCAAATCAGCACCTAGGACAAAGTCACTTCCGGGTATCGCAATTCGGCAGAAATAATGTTCGATTTTACGACAATTTTTGTCTGTATCTGTACTAAACTTTATCATTAGCCATTCAAATATGACAACTTTCATGCAAATTCAAAATTGTACATTTTAATCTATGTGTAATGATAGAGTTATAACAAAAAGCAAAGTTTTTGGTAATTTTTTCTTCAGTGTCGTAAGATATTTACCGATTTACGTCACTGTTTTCATGTCAAAGGTTACAGAGCGCATGGGAAGACGTCCGCACACATTTTTGCTGCGCATTTGCTGATATTTTGCTAAAAAAAACGACTTATTTTGCGACCATGGGGAAGATCAAGCGTGCGCGACAGAAGTATCACACATCCGCGGTGAAACTGGGCTCTGGAGCCGAGGAGAAACTAGAAAATGCTCCCCAAGCGACGAAAGTAAGAATTTCTTCTTTACTCTTGGGGGGAGGGGTTGATTTGGTATTTTAATGGTACATTTAATTAGCAGAGAAGATGAGAAACCCTTACGTCTATTGACATGATGATCCTGTCAACAGTGCGAAAGTTTTTGTTGGTGAAGTGTTGGTGTTCCTGTGAAAAATTCTGTTATTGACATGATGATCCTGTCAATAGTGAAAACATATCTGTTACTGACAGGATGGTCCTGTCAATAGTGAAAACATATCTGTTGACAGGATGGTCCTGTCTATACTGCAAGCTTTCATTGCAATTGGCCGGTAGACTTAATAGATATGATTTAGTACTACAGTAATTTAGTCGTCACAAATTGACTGATGATAATTTTATGATAATTCGGTTTGCACAATTAAGCAGATGAAATAGATTCATAAATTTTTCAAACTCACAGTCACTCAGTCTCGTAGCCAATAGTGATAATAGTGTTAGTGTATAAAACATACATGTATCTGTGGAATGGGGGCCTACATGCCCTTTTTCGTAGAGCATAATCGGCCGTTTTAATTCTACGTAGGGCGTAGACGGACCGCTCTAATTCAACGTAGAGCATAATTGCGCATTTTGCGTAGAGAATTCTACGTAATGCGTTGTAGCCACTTGGAATTTATCATAAAATGTAGTTGACAAGTTTCCGAATTCAGCGTAAAGCGTTGTCCGGACCCCCCCCCCCCCCCCATGCAGGCTCTCTAGAATCTGGACTGCCGAATAATAAGTTCAGATGGAATTCTAGCATGTTTATACAGTATATGTAAATTACATTGTCATCCCTTGCTAATGTTGATTTGCTCTCTATTGCAGCTGCCGTCCCTCCCCCTCCCAGTAGGAACCCCAGTGTTCCCCACCTCAGAGCTGTTCCGCGGAGCTGATTCGTCGGACCCTGTAACCTCACTGTCCGTGGAGCAGGACAGGCAGAGCGTCGTGTCGGGCAGGTCCATTCGCACGGAGGGGGGAACCAGGATCAGCAAAAAGGACAAGAGGAAGATGAGGCACGATGTCTTCTTGCAAAGTGAGAGCTTGGTGATTTTTTAAACTAATGCATTTTTAATATCAAGGAATGGGCAATCTACTGCTTCTGTGACATTATGCAGATAGAACATGTGATTTGATGAGCAGAGGATCGTATGTGCAAGAGCCTAGGAGTGAGTGAGTGAGTGAGTGAGTGAGTGAGTGAGTGAGTGAGTGAGTGAGTGAGTGAGTGAGAGAGAGCATCACTAGTTCCAGAAAGTTTACTGTGCCCCCAGTGTGTGTCGAGGGATGGTTAAAGGGCCCTGATATACTATAGTAGGATTTTTTCAATATTCCTCTTGAAATTAAGTTTGGTTCCATGTCCAAGATTCTTACTGTAAATTGTCCAATGACTGAATGTCTGTATGACTCTACATGATATATAACTACCAACAGGGAATCAGATAGGGATTTTGAAGCTAAATGTTGATCCCCTTTTCCCCTTCAGAGCTGGAAGCAGCCCACACGGCTAAGAGGAAAGCGAAGGAGACGAAGCGACGTCAGCAGACGGCCGTGGTGGGAGACATGCAGCCGCTGAAGGACGCCCTGCCACAGCTCACGGCCTTCCTGGAGCAGCAGCAGGGAGGGGCGGCTGCAGCTGAGGAGAAGTAAGGACATCCTGCCTTTTTATAAGGGCTTGTCTATTGTTACATAATCCTTCACTGCCAGTGGCTGATAGGGGGTTCATGGACCTCCTCCCCTAGCCTGGTTACCAAACCTATTATAGCTGCCGAGTCCTATATCCTCTCTGCACAGAGCGGAGAGGATGTAGGACTCGGGAGCTATAATAGGTTTGGTAACCAGGGTACTCCTCCCCAAGAGCTTGTAGCCATACACCTCTAACTCAAGAAAGCCATTCCCAATCCCAGAACTGCCAATAGGAGAGCTCAGGATTCTTTGTGTTGTTTCTTTTCTCATGGAAGTTATAGAATTGTTGTATCAAACTTTACTTCATCCAATTTATGTAGAAAGATGGGGTTGACATTCATGACTTTTCCTGGAAATGTTATTAAGTATTTTCTACATAACATGTTCAAATGCCTTTGCCTGACAGTACATTTATCAGCTGTTAATTGCTGTTTCATTTTTCTCAGGAAAGAAAAGCAAGGAACACTGAAGCCAAAGGAAAGGAACAGAATTGAGTAAGTTGACATTCTTTGTGTGGATTTTAGGCTATTTGTATTAGACTGATGATTGCTGTTCTGTTTTTGTCAACTGTTCCAGCAGTTTAAATTACATGTTGTATAACCAAGGAGGTTTAAAATCAAATATAATATAATATGGCCCAATTTTCTTCTTTGCAGACAAGAAGAGCTGTCCAGATTTCAGCAGATCCTGCAGCACCCCCAGTACAGACAGAGACCTGTCTCAACTATCATGGAACATCTGAGAAACAAACTCTCCAAGGAACAGGACAGGAATTGAAGACACTACTTGAGACTTGTCTCAAGACACTAATCTATAAACTAAAGAACAGGCCATGGATTTAATGTCTGCAGCAAGGACAAAACCTGTCTCAAGTACTACTAACAGTATCATGGAACATCTAAGAAATAAACTGTCGAAGGAATGGGACAAGTTATAGATTACTTGAGACGTATTTAAAGACCTTGATTTTTGTATAACTTTTTGACACATTGAAACATATAATCCAACTTATGTATAAGGTACATAATACAATAAACTACAGTGTACATGTAACTATATAATAAGATATAGCTATAAACTTACAACAATAACTTTAAAGCTTGTTAATTATGAGCAATGAAGTACATGGACTGTTTTTGCTACGGTATAAAAGAAATAAGGAGAAAAGAACACCTGTATTTGAAGAAATAAAGTATTTTCATCCTACCATCCAAAAACCTGAGTGTATCTGTCTTTTTGGTCTTTATTCAATGGGGGGGAGGGGACTTATGTCATGATTGCTCTATTGCATACTCCACTGGCCTTTTCTTTTTCAACTACCACAACACAGTTTTCTGATAGATGCCTTCAGAAGAAGAAGAATGGTACTAGGTTGTAATTACTTACCTAAGAACTCAATAGCTATCAGAGAATTGTGCATAGTTGTAGATGAAAAAGAAAAGCTTAACAGAGTCTACATTTCCTGAATGTAGAGCCTAACAGATGACACAGACATTTGCACATATACCATGTTGTCCAGTTTATTCACCTGAGATCTGCAGCCATAAAATAAGATGCAACACTAATCATAATCCTGAATGTAAGACTAAGTGTTACAATCAGAATACTACAGTAACATTTTTAGATTCAATACTATAAAGGAATGGCACAATGATTGTAGCAGTACATAATATGTCAAATGACATTGTTCATGTAATGGCAGCTAGAATATGGCAAAACTGAATATGGCAGCCTCTCAAAGATATTAATATACTTTTTCTAACTAATGTGTAACTTTTTATAAACTTAAAGATTACTTACTCCATATACAACTGAACATCTATAGATTTTTAAAAAATAGGTTGACTAAAATTTCAAGCTAACATAAGTTCAGGGATCTCTTCAGTTATGGCACAAAGTTTTAAACTCTTATGCAAGTGAAATACTTTCCTTATAATGGTCATCATTTCATGCATTACTACATAATGCATCATTGTCATTGGTTAACTGCAGCACAGGTAATTGTATGTTTGTTTCAGTTGCTATGATGTAATGGCTTCAAGACTTGTATTCATTTATATATTGGAATATCATAGTACACATATTGGTAAATGATCATATAAGGCATTGAATATGATAAGTACAATACTATAGCTACTAGGCCAAAATCTTTCACCCAAGCAAGAGGATAATAGGCCCCTATAACCTCCTTTACATAAGTTACCCAGTGTGCAAATATTATATGGGTGAAAAGTACATACTTTTTCAAGCTAAAGCCTCCTATCACATAATTATAATGATACTATTTGTCATTTACTAGTACATAGAACATTGCAATTGCATTGACTCTTAATTTGCACTACTATTGTATGCAACACTTGCACACAAAGTGAAGGAAACCTTGGACTTTTCATTCCCTATAGCATCTCTATGAAACATCTGCTTTCCTGCACAAAATGATTTGATTGTCTAATTTATATCCTGGAAGTGTGTTGTGTATTCTTTGCTGTTTGCCAATTTCCAATCTTACTGACTAATAGAAAAGTGTTTAAAACACCTTACAGACTCTTTACTGCTAAAAATTAATCCTTGAGATAAAATTTGTTTCCTTGGTAGACTAGATGATCTACACTACTTTTCAGTAAGTATGGTGGGTTACCAGTTCTTTAACGTGCTTGAGGTGTGGCTCTCCTCAAACCCAGGACCTAACTGAAGCGAGGTACTCATTTTCACCTGAGTCAAGTGAGGAAATAGGTGTAAAGTGCCTTTCCCAAGGGCACAACACTGGGGCCCGCCTGGGATTTGAACCCAGAACCTTTAGATTCACGAGTCAACCCTAAGCATAAGCACGCCTTGTCATCTAGTATGGCATTCAAATTCATATACTGTAACCTAGGTTAGATCTTTGGTACACAAATCAATCACTTTTGCTAAAAAAAATAGTCCATAAACATCACTCCTTTGTTATGCTATTGACTTGAATTGGACGTATAAAGTGTTGTTTGCTACAATAAGATATTTATAATCATTCTCAGTATAGAGCTACAGTTTTATACAGATTATATAACAGCTAATGACCCACTAAATAATCTCCTTAAAACTGAAATTCTACAATAATTAAAAGCAATTCTCCTCCAATCATCACAGAACCCCCTTTAAATCTACTGTTTCACAGAACATTTTTGAAGAGTAGAAAGTTTTTCATAGGAGGTGGGAGGGGGAAGTCTTGGATAACATTGTCCTCTGATCTCACTTCCTCCAGTGTTGTGTGTATCTTCAGCCTACAGAGTCGCTGCAGGCTGGGGTGGTGCTCTCATGTACCTGACAACAGTTCCTGGCACTTACTGCCACTCGCAGCTACCTCAGCTGGCGTCTTCCGTTCCTGTCCTTAGCGTTAAAATCTGCCCCTGCTAGTAAAAGCAGCTCAACCTCGCGCACTGAGTTTTCCTGAGCAGCCCGGTGTAGTGGTGTCTGCCCAAAGATGTCCTTCGCGTTAATGTCAGCCCCGAATTCCAGCAAGAGCTTGGTGGCGGCGAAACGCCCCTTTTCTACAGCATAGTGCAGCGCAGTCCTGCTGTAGACTTGTGATGGAGAGAGTACCGATCGTTTCGAGACATGCTCGTGGCTTAGGAGTGATGCGATGGTGTAACAGTCGCCCTTCCACGCAGCTTGCTGAAGCGCGGTCCACCCTCGGTAAGTTTTCATTGAGGCGTCCGCTCCCCTGTCCAAGAGCAAACCGATCACATTGTTCTTGTTGTTGAACTGCGCAGCGAAGTGGATCGCAGCCCAGCCGTAGGGATCACGCATGCGCAACGATCGTCCACAGTTCCCCCTAGTCAGCAAGATGTCCACAACTTTCAAGTGTCCGTTCTTCACAGCACAGTGTAGCGCAGTCCTCCCGTCTTTGTCACGCACGTCTAGGTCACCATCAGTGTCCAGAAGCTGGGAGACTTTTCGGTAGTGTCCGGCTGACGCTGCAGTGATGAGGGGTTTTCTTGTTGCTGTTTTCTTCTTGCCCATGTCGGTGTGCATTAGTGGCATGGATGTCAGTGGTGCTGGGAATGGTACATCACACTTGAACTGCAAACTTCTGTAAAAGGAATAAAACATCACTGTTATATTATGGTCATTTCTGCTTAGGTCTAGCTGTATATGTTTGTATCTTGAGCGAATTGATAATCATATCATGTCCATACCAGAGTTATCTCCAAGCATACATGTATGTTAAGAGCCTGAACAGATGAGACAAAAGTTGCAGTCTTGTTCTTACTGGAATCACGTTTGCAATGAAAGCTAGCCTTGGTACAAGATGCATAATTTTACAGCCAGTTAACTTCAAAGAACGTGATAATCGCAAACATAACACATGATCAAGACTTGTTTATAGGCCCAGAACAACAAATAGAGCTAAAATACACACCCTAATCAAGTCGAAAAAGCATCACACCAAGGACATTATACATGTCCTTGATCACACTGACTACTGCATAAAAGTTGTCTGAGAGACAAAACCTCCCACTGTTTTGTCAACCACGCCCCCTTCCAGGCACACACACCCACACATATAATACATGTATAAATAACTATAATGATAATAATAGTATTATTATTATTATTATCATTAATACATTATTTAGAGGCTGATCAATCATTTTGTTATTAATACGATCTAAATAGTCTATAGACTGACAAAAACTATAGTAAAGTTTATAAATAATCTCACTTCCTTCGTCTTACCTAATATTATGCATGAACTGTATCGTCTTACACTTTTACATTTAGAAAGCTAGCCTCAGTACAAAATGTAACATTAATTTAGAGTCAGCAAACTTCAATTAGGGCAAAAATTAGAATGTAGAAACCAAACACAAGATCCAGACTAATGTTTACACCACCTAAGGCGTGTTGGACCCTCTCTGGCCAATGGATACTGCCTGACCAATTTGATACTGTCTTATGCCACCCTAGGATCTGCTTGGAGATCCTACTAGTAGGGTGGCAAAAGATCAGCCTGAAAAAGATATCAAGAAAATACCTGTAGCGTTTCTACAAGCAACCAAGGTAAGGTAAACCTCGTGTATCTTTCTGTATGTATCGAAACGACTGTATCGAAAAGGCGATGTATCGAATCGACCTTGATACCTTGGAGATTAGTCTGAGTGACAAAAGTTCCCACAATGTTTTGTCAACCAAACCCCCTTCCATGCACACACACATAATACTAGTATAATGAGGACATGAATTAGAAGTATACTTAGAACTCTCAAATTCCTAAAATACCTATGCATGCATTGTATCGTAATAGCTGCACTCGGCATAGGTGTAATTTAGAGCCAGTCAACTTCAATGAGCGTGATAATTAGAAACCAAACACAGGATCCAGACTTGTTTTATTTTGTTTATACATAGACAGCAGGATCAACAAATCGAGCGAAACACACACGAAAATCAAGGCTAAATACACATGAGCATGGTACCGATAAATTTGTCAAATTTGATAAATTTTAAAGCTCTCGTTGTTTACTGAAATTATGAAACTACACCCCACCCATGTACCCACGCCAACCACACACAGACACACCCCCAGACACTATTATCTAGAGTTAGATCCATAAAAAAGGGGAGGCCTAGGTGGTCTATACGTTGTAAATTCAATACATAAACAGTATAATGGGTCTCTAATCTTTACATATCCCACTTCCTTGCGTCTTTATCCTTTGCGTGTATCTTCTTGTGTGGTTGCAAAGAAAGCTAGACTCTGAACAACGTGTAATTTAGAGCCAGCGAACTTGCAAAATTATTATCGTGGTGGATAATTAGCAACCGGAACAAGCTTCGCTCGGGACTTGCTGCTACATCCGGAAACGATCAAGACTCTCACGCCACGTTAGACTGAAACGTTGCACAATTTTACTGAACTAAGAACACAGCGTAGACACCATGATTTCCTCACCTATAGGCCCTGATCTTGTGGCTTGGACCTTCCTGCAAACCGCCTACGGGTCTTGGTGAATTGCACGATGTTTTGTAGGCGTCCCAGACCGGTTTAACCACGTATGAAATTTGTCTGCTCAGCTGTCTGCAGTATGTATGTTATCACCGTCTGCCGCAAGCCGGCACCGACGCTTAGAGTTTACGACAGTTAAAAAAAAAACTTACCACCTCTATTCATCTGTCAACGGTTATACATATCTTAAAGTTTGTAAATACTGGTAGATAGCACGAATTGCGAAAGAAAATGGTGTTGATGTTTTGAATCTATTCCGGATGTGGCACTGTCGTAAAAAAGAGGCTCCAGCCGTTTTACGTTATTTGTGGTTATTGACAGGACAGTTGTTGGTCCTGTCAATAGCCACAGGTCAGATTTAAAGCCCCTCAGACAACACTGACACGTGGCCACGCTTTCTCTGCGACATTGTAGCGATCGGGACAACCAAGGAGCTTGTGATGAAAGCTCCTTGGGACAACATAGCCTGACTAAATCGCGCTCCTGGCGGGCGCCCCCCCCCAAAGGGGTCATTGACCTCTGACTGAGAGAGCTTGTGTAACCAGGCTAGGGGCAACTGTGCTACTAGTGGTAATTTACTCGGTAATACCATAGCAGTGATTTTTGACCGATAGAAACATGTTACGTTACTTATGATGTAACTCTACTTATGATGTAAGTCATAAGATGATCCTGTCAATAACAGAAAATTTTGGATGACAGGAAAGCAAAATATTGAGGATGCAATGAGGTAATAAAGTCATAAAATCATTAATAGAAAGTACTAAGCCGGTAAGATCTACAAGTCTCTCAATGTAGGATGTTTTTATTCGATTAGTTGAGTCTCCCTTTACTTTACTTTAGTTCTAAGGTCTTCTAATACCACTAGTCAGTAGTCAGGTACTCCTGTTGTTTCAGCAATCATCAACAAACGCTACCAAAAGCATCCGATAACCCTCTTGACAAAGGAAAAATGGCACATGTATCTTACAATCTGTATAACTTGAGTCACATTTAACAATTGAGAAAAACCGGTAGCTATATGGCGCTAAAACAATACGACAGGTGTTCAATTAAAAGACTAATAAATGTAGCAATAAATTATAAGCCTTAGATGTGATCTCCTTCCTCGAGTGGAAAACAGACCTGGAACATCGCTGGACCAAGTGCATTGCAGTTAGAGGGGACTATGTTGAATCATAGTGTAAGAAAAAATTCTGCCATGACGTTTTCTAGGTGAGGCCGAGAACTTTTTGAACACCCCTCGTACTATTATTCCACCAACTGATCAATGATTACATTTCCCTTGTATGTTAAATATATATATTGCGTCCCATTACAGTATCCAATACGCCATCCAAAATTCTTCGGGAATGAATGGTATAACTCAGTCGCCCCCCCCCCATCTGCTTGGAGATTAATCACGATTTTTTCGCGGTACTTTTAAATTTGCGGTTTTCACGGTCGATTATTTAGAGCGAATTCATCATTACCGTCAACAAATAGTTCGCCGACTTTCTCTTTACTGCACCTGCTGCCACCGCGAACGCATGTAGTTCCGCGAACATGTCCATTTTTCTCAGACCACAAACTTTTGCTACTTTTGTTACAGTACTTTTAGTGCGTTCTTTTAGAGAACTCCCCACTCCTTGATCTCCTGGACCATTTGCAGAAAGTCCAGGTCAGGTCGCAGGATGGCCATCCGCATGACCCGGCTGATGATCCCGTACAGACAGTCGGCTCGGAAGTCTGCCTTCAGCTGTTCCAGGGTGTAGCTCTGTAGACCTGAGGGATCTAGGAGAAAATATAACCACCAACATACAACATATATATATATTACTACGTACGCATCATTGGGCGAACAGAACTCATAACCATAGCCAAAGGTTGATATTTCTCTTTGGTTGAAGTTGAAACAAGTTTGGATCTTCTTTTAAAGCTACAAATGTATAATGACTTAGTGTCAAACGTTTCAAAATAAGAATTGAACTTGAGACTCTAATGACATATTCTCCAAACAATGATGAACTTTCGTTGACATTTATGAAGAGTTTACTGTACTTTTATTGCGTTCCAAGCTCTCTCTTAGGACAAGTTTTAGGACAGACACGAAATGTGATGTAATCATTGACAACTGAATGCAAAGAAACCCCAAACCGTAGCATTTAATTTTGCTGCCAAGTTTTCATACTGGCAAATTGGTGGGTTCTTCTTACCGTTCTGCTCCATTGTGCTGTGCAGTTGTTGGTGGTAGTGAGCCAAGATGGCGTCCCTGTGCATGTGGAAGACGTCCCAATCCGCGGAACACAGGAACAGCAAGGCCAGGTCATAGGTCGGCGGGAAGTACGTGAAGCCCTGCCAGTCCACCAGCTTTACTTCAGTGGGGACGTCTCCTTTGTACTTTGCAGAGGAACGAAGAGGGGAGAAAGACTATAAGCAGTCGAAACGCGTTAGATTAAGTATGTCCTACCTACACTCACTCACTCACACATACATACAAACAGATCCTGTCCTTGGTGCTGAAGACTGTCCACACACACACACGCGTACACACACATGCGCACACACGCATGCGCGCGCACACACACACACACACACACACACACACACACACACACACAGACACTCACACACACACACAGACACTCACACACACACACACACACACACACATGCACACACACACACACACACACACACACAGTACACAAACACAAGTACATTAGGTCCTGTCCTTGGTGCTGAACACTATCCACACACGCCAAAAAACAGTTACTCAAGCAACTGGATATGATTTTGAAAACGTCAGACGTTTCAGCTAGTATCCACTAGCTTTCGTCAGTGACTGAGAGACCAGAGGGGAAAGCAGGTTTATAAGTACAACCTGTTGATTGATATGCAAATAAAGTGAAGACAATTTTTTGGAAGTCGAAAAAGGAACAAAAGTCAGACAAGTCAAGACAAAATGATGCAAATCCACACACATCCACGCACTCTCAAACACACACACTCGCACACATTTACGCACACACACACCCGCCACACGCGTGTACATGAAATACCCCTGTCCTTGGTGCTGAACACTTTTCAAACACACACAGACACCCACACACATATTACCTTAAACATGATGTTGTTGATCCAGCAATCTCCATGGTTCAACACCTTCACTCTCGGACTCTTCAAAACACCGACCAGAACAGACTGTACATCTATCTTCTCCAGACGAGCTACAAGGTCTGTCTGGTCAGGAAAGGCCGCTAAGACTTCCTTCAGTGGGTTCTGATACAAAGCGACGGTTTGGTCCGCATTCATCGTGTACTTTACCAGAAAATCGTACTTCTCGGAAAGAGGGACGCCCGTACGGAGCTCTAGCCGATGTGACAGGCCGTGTAGTTGCGCCAGGGCGCCGACTGTAAGCATCATCTCGTCACAGCTCAAAGCCTGGCGATCGGGTTTGATGGAGAAGCCCTGAGTTTTCAGGTTCTCCAGAACCCTGACCGACACCATGGAGCTCGGATCGGCGGCGGCCAAGTAGCATTTTGCGACAAAGAACAAATCAGTAGGATGGTGGCCTCCTTCATCTTTGTCTTGCGCCTTTTTCTTGGAGCTTTCTGTGGTCGCAGATAAAAGTTCTGGGACGACAACAGAGTACAGGCCGACTTCGGCCCTCTCCAAGTTGAGATGACCTTGGATGTCGTCTTCAAGGGCGTTGGATGTCGCCAACGGTCGCGTGAACTTCGTCATCTTGGCGACGAGGTTGTAGCGCTGACTTTTGCCGTCCCTGGTCCCCCGGGCGTCGAATGCGACGATTTCGCTCATGAAGCCCTCGCCGTCACAGATGGAACCTTTCACGTCGACGTCAGAGATGGTGACGCCGGGGAGGTCGCGCTGCAGTACCTTCTGCACCCAGTAGGGGGCGATGTCTTCTATGGACTTCGGAATTGCGATCACCTTGCCTTGTGCCTCCATACTAACAGTTTGTCAAGGAAAAAGATCATATTTGGGGGATACTTAAGTAAGAGCACGGTGACAATGTGTCCACTCGGTTCTACATTTCAGAAATGCAGCGCAAAGACATTGACTTAGCTTGAAATTGATCCTAAAATGGTGATATCAAAACTATGGTTTGAGGTTAAAGTCCAAGCTTGGTGGGTAGAGTAGATATTTTTGGCATGGAATCAAACATGGAGAGATTCCATGTTTTCGGTGCTCGTTCTTTACATTTTTCATTTTAATAGCCTATATATCAAAATATAAGTAGACAAAACTCCTACCTGTGACAGTGACGTTTTCCTGTAGTCGCAAAATAAGATGGAACAATCAAAGCTGTAGAATGGATTCAGCAATGACTTTTGAGGAAAAAAATGCAAGAGCCAACGACCTGCTTCTATAGAATATATTCTACTGAGCAAGAGTGTATGTAAAATGGAGACGTTTTAATAACCAAAGGGACCTTTGATCCAAAAATTTTATCTTAGCACAATGACCCTGGGTTCACGTGACGTCTTCTCACCAACAGCCAATCACAAACCAGACCGTGGTGAAACTTTGGACCTGACCTTCAAACGTGACTGTGCACACTGACCTTCAAACGTGACGATAAAATGTCACTGCTAAACACCCGACTTTAGAAGTTAATAATGTTTATTTGCAAAATCATGCCCGAAGGCTAATTGCTTGTACAGTCAAGATTACTGAAACAGGAGACAGGTAACAATCCGTCTGGAAAAACCTCTACTTCTACTACTACTCTAGCTATTAAGGGGTTCGACTTCTTCTTTGACTTCTTCTTCTTTCTTCTTTTAGTGTCAATCAATCAATCATTCAAGCCGCGGGCATCAGAGTAGATGCATAGCGGCTGTAGCCATGTCCCTCCAGTTATGTCAGGATAAAGCTTAATTTGTTGATTTCATACTTTTATTCCCTTTTCGGGAAAATTTGGTGATTTTATTTCCTGACCTCTTACGTCGCTATATGGTGTAAAACTACTGAAAACAAACAAACAAACAAACAAACAAACGTGAAAATAGTTCTTAGCGTCCCATCCCCCGACATGTTAACTGGATTATCCCCTACCTGACGTATACCCTACCTGTTATCTACAAATGGAGCGTCCCGTCTCATCGAACCATCGACCAGGGAGGTACCTCTAAAACGTCTTTTTTCTTTGGATAAAAAAAAACTTCAAAAAGAGTTTCTTTTGAACTATACAGTCTTTGTAATGTTAGAGAGTACATAGTTTGTACTGTATGTCAATTGTTCATCCAAAAACAAGAAAAAAATAAATATTTTTGCATCGCCTTCCACCCGGACATTTAAGTGGACCGTCCCTGACATTGAGCACCAATCACGTTCAAGGTCTCATCAGAGAATTCTTCACTCAAAATTTTGGCGCCATTGCACTGCCATAGGAGACTGTGTATAGAACATCCTGTCATATTTGAGGTAAGAATTTTCCAATTTTTACGGTGAAATACTGCATTTTATCCAAGTTTTACCTTGTATAATCTTGTAGAAGGAGTTGCCATGTGTCCTCAGTTAATTTCAAGACATTTCGTGGACATTTACCCCGAAACTTTCACGATTTGTGATGCACGATAGGTGTAGGCAGGCATTTCGTATGTTGAGATTTTCCTACATTTTTCCTGTCAGTGTTTCTTCCGTAAACTGTATATTTTCCTCAAGTTTACCTCAGAATTTGCAGACAAAATGTTTTGGCATGTTGTAGTGTCACTTTTAGCTTTCTTCATCCGTGAAAAATTGAGAAAAGTTGTCTTGGCAGCGCGCTGTGGAAGGTCTGTGGAAGAGGTGTGTGGAAGTGTCGTTGTGGGCCTTCGTACCCTTGGCAGCGCGCTGTGGAAGGTCCGTGGACAACATGTGCTTTATGTGCTTTATGTGCTTTATTAAACTCCATTAGCGACACACAAGACATACAAAATCAAGTATGTAGCTAATCTTCCTGGAGTTAAAATACAATAATACAAATACACCACATCAAAATTACAACATTATTTACATACAACATTAGACTTAACATTTAAAAGTAACATCACATGTGCCTATCATCATGTGCCTATGTACGCATGTGCTCTAACAACTCCTGCCTAAACCTACTCTTAGTTGCTGCTTGTACCTCATGTGGCAAAGTGTTCCAAACTGTTAAGGATCTATAAATGAAAGTCTTCTTCAGGGCGTTCGTTTTGGGTTTCATTAAACAGTATGTGTTTCGGCTAGCATGACGTGTGTTGTGGCTGTGGTGGTAGGAGACAGGACATAACTGTTTGTAGAGTACTTCTGGTTGAGTGTGTAGCAATGACCCTCTGTAGCTGAGAG